TTGTACTTTCATTGTGCATTTCGTTTGTTTATTATCTTTTTTATATTTGGTTAGATATCAAATTGCCCTTAAACGAACATTCTAATAATGAAAAAACCATTGTAAAAATTCAAAAATACCCCTTGACACCAATGACATTTTGGTCATTTCACTATGCAATTAAGATGGAGAAAAATTTATTTATCCTTTATCAATTTTGTAATAAAAAATGAGTTATATGAAAAGACATTAATGTTTTTTAAGCTAGCGTTAAGTTTTTTGTGAAAGGGTGAAAATGTCATTGCATTGTTCCAGTAAACAGTGTTTTAAGCATGGAGCCACAATGTTTTTACAATAGGTTTTAATTTTTTTAATTAATAATTTTAGCTATATTCTTTTATCTTACTTATATAAATGCAAAATGGATTGTGGATTGCAGACATACACAAATAAGACAATTAAAAAGACAATGACCACTCATAAAATATTAATAAATAAATTAATATTGATACCTAAAAGACATATAATAAGTAACTACTTTACTTCCTATGCTATATTATAGGTTGGATTAAATTTTTTAATATAAGAAAGAATATGAAAGTTGCGAGGAATTTTTTGATATTATCATTAAACTCGTTCGAGTGAGTTAGACTTGAAACTCCCAACTTGAGTTCTTGCCAAGTTTGGGTTTCCAATTAAATCATGTGGGAGCTGTTTTGATGTGACCCGATCAACTTAGCGGGTTTCAAGATAAAAAAATCAGAGGACAACAAAATATTGTAGTAAAAAACAAAGCCTAGACACACGAGTTTAAAGGCAATTTGAATGACGGTTAAAAAAGGTTTGACTTTTTTTAAAAAAAATTAAAGCTCGTATCTTCTTTTTTTAATATTGAGATGGTGACATAATGAATCCATTTTGGTCAATTCTAGTTAACACGCTAAATCCATGACCCGAGTTATGAATTTCAATAAGTTCAATAATACTTTTTTTAGTGATATGATAAAAAAATAAATACCAATTCAAAATCAACCCATTATTAAATAATAAAATTAAAAAAATCATAAAAAATCATTAAAAAACAATGCAAAGCCTTATTTATTTATTAAAAAAAGAAGAAGCTAAGCCAAGTACATGGGGCCTAAACAGGTGTATTAAAGAGGCTTAAAAAAATCCACCATTATTGAGCTTTTCTTATTAAATAAAACCTATTAATATTAAGTTTGAAAAAAAATCATAAAAAATCATTAAAAAACAATGCAAAGCCTTATTTATTTATTAAAAAAAAAAGAAGCTAAATCAATTTTGTTGTTAGTATTGTGGCTATCAATCATTTTTTCTTACAATGATTATTTTCTAGCAACTTTTTATCTATTTTTTCTTGCTCAAGGATTAAAAAATAAAAAAATAAATTTTTAAATCAAAATAAAAAAGAGTTATAAATTTGAAGAGAGTCATATATTTTCTCCCATGTTTTAATTTGGAGCTTAATTTTGTATAACTAGCCTGTAAAATGATGTAATTGAAAGAAAAATAAAAGTTTGAGAATTATAAAATAAAACAAAATTGGGCAAGATATGAACAGTGGCTTTGTACCGAACAATGGGACTATTTTAGTTTATACTTTATACTAATAATTCAGCTTTTCTTTTTTTAAAGAGAAAAAAAAAAGGAAGAATCTCTTTGGTGCTGTTGGGGTCAGCATGTAGATTTTTCACAGGAAATTTGATTTTAGACGTTTGTTTTGATAGATACCTCAATCATCACAAGCTTTTTAATAAATAAACCTTAATTTAATTCCTTACGTATCATCCCAAACCTTTTCAATTTATTAATTTTTCCATGGACATTGTTAACCTGTAATGTCTCCCTGTACCAGACCATTTCTAATGCTTTGCCAAATTTCAGCTTCAAAATCGTACGAACCACAACACATAGCTCCGATTGGCTTGCGTTAAGAATTCTTTATACCCACTGCGATTGGGAAAAGGGGGAAGCCAGATTGCCCAAAACACATCACATCACAACCGCAAGAATGCCAGGTTTTCTCATCAGTGTCCGTAAAAACTCTGCAAAAAGGATAAAACCATGCGGAATGGTGATACCATCTTCCTCGTCCACAGTGGACAATGCAGAATAAACTGCTTGAAGAAGGTTCAGTAGCATTTAGCGTGAATGAAGACCAACATGTTAAGCATGGGATGCCAGTGATCACCACCCTAAACAAGAGATATCATCATACATTGATTTTGGTTTGAAGCCCTCATTTCACTTTTCTTCAGCCCAGAACCTCCAAGGCTCCCTTTCTGCTGTGCTTTGGCTCTGAGTTCCTTAGGTGCCTGCTCATCAAATTATATCAAATTAGTCATTTTTCATCAATGCAGAATATAAGAAAGGTAATATACAAGATAAAACATCTCTCTTTTTTGGATAAGTAGTATCCAGTATCTCATACCTTTTCTTCCTCCTCCTTCTGAAGGTTGGATAAAATCATAATCTTACAATATCGATATCCTTCACCGTCAGAAAATAAATATCTTGCTTAGAAGACATGATTTGATTGGAGCCTTATCTATGGTTATGGATATATATAAATACCTTGCTTAAAAGACATAGGCCTGCGCATCTTTCTGAACACAGAGAACTCTCTAATTGAAATCAACGCATAACCCCAAATTCCCAATAACCATTTCTAGTCCAGGGCGTGCTGCGTGTGATCCTTTGATTATTTCTCATGATGGTATAAAATTTTCCGGGATAATCTATGAAAATAGAGCCATATATGAATAAACTGTTTGTCATAAACCAAACCAACTGGCGGCAATTACTGCAAGAGCCCGAATCAAGACCCATTCACTGTTTACATATGAAATTAAAGAACACACACACAAGAGGTTTTGGTTCGGAGAAATAAAAGACATGTACATAATAATTAGCAGCTAGTGATTTGTGGCCGTGGCAAAGTATGATTATCAATATTATATATAGTTCATATAAAGGACTCTTTCATGAAATCTGCACTGGCCCCTTTAACTAGCTTCTTTCTCAGTGATTGATTCTTGGTTTAATGAACAATTTTCTTGATTTTTTTTGTTTGTGCTCTTCAATCACTGCCCCCTGCATGCTCCTATTGGAAAATGCTGGTCGTTTTGGAGGAGTTAGTTGATTAGCTTCATTGAATATCATAGATATAACATCTAGCATGGTGGGTCTATCTGTTGGGCTCTCTTGTGCGCATAAGAGACCCGCATGAAGGCACCTCGACCGATTCTTGATGTCTGTTTGGAAGCAAGCAATAAAGCTTGAAAGTGAAAGACATTGAACAGAACCATAATTGACTAATAAAAGGTAGATGTCAACCGACCAAAGAGGAAGAATTTGATAATTTCTTAAATAGATACAAAATGAATGAAGGGTTTTATAAGCATAAAGTATACCATGTAAACGGGGCCAAACCCACCTTCTCCGAGCTTATTCAGAGGCGCAAAGTTGTTTGTTGTTAATGCTATGCTTTCGAAATTGAAAAACTGTAGTTCATGGCTACTTTTCTCACGTATATGTGGGTTATGTTTTGCTGCCATTCCCAACTCAGACAATAGTATCTCTTGTTCCGTGTCAGTTCTTTTTATGGATTGAAGAAAGGGAATCAATGGCTTTTTCCTTATATTTTTTCTACATTAGCAACAGGGATTCCGACTTCAACATCCAGGAGACTAGATCGCTACATTTTCTCCATATTAGAAAGAATAAGAAGCATAACAAGGATATAGCCAGAGCTCCCCCTAAAAATTATATGATCAACCACTGGACAAGGCAGGCTTGATGCCTTGTGATCTTGTAAAATGTTTCTTTAAATTCTCATGTAGCTTATACCCAAGAGTCTTAAATTACAGTGATGATCAGTCTCCGGTGAGCCGATTTGCTTCGCATGGTTGCAAAGGTAGGACTCTAACCTGAGTTCTTTTTACCTCCTGTGCATTAGAGATTATCTCTAAGCTGAAAACTAACAGCAAGCAAAGTGAGTTTATGGAGCAATCATAATTCATATCTAATCTGTTTATTATGCTCTTCCTCTGAAATGTAAATTATGTATCAAGTATTTCTTTGTTCTAATAATATAAATGCTGTAGATTTTCCTTGGCCTTTATTAGTGAAATTAAAGCATATACGTCTAGCAGTCCTCAGAGGCATCTGTCTGAAAAGATAATTTCTAGAGACAAGGCATCTTACCTCTGGATTCAAGTTCAAGGATGTATAAAAAATGCCAACTTTGGTATGGGGATCTTCCAAATTTCAATCTGCTCCAGCTCTGGCAAGCAATGCCTTCATACTCATTGATGGACGAATAGGCAAATACATGAGCAGTTTCTTAAGCACTTTTCACGACAGCCATTGATATTGATGTTCTCATTCTCATCGAACTTGAACGCATCTCCAGTCAAGGAACATGCAATTTACTCTTCGAAACCTTTTTTAATGGGCATGTTTTTTTTTTTCCCCAGAATAAACACATGGAGGAAATCTCAAGGTTGTGCAAAACGCTGTTCATCATATTGTTAGCTGGCTAGGTAAGTTCAGAAAGATATGTGTGCTTGTGCAATCATGCAGTTATATAAAACAAAATATTTTTTCTCCATTGGTTTGTGGTGTAATTTTAATTAGTGAACCAAGTTGACATAATATTCTTTCCAATTTCAACTAATTAGCCCCAGAAAATATATTTTCAAATCTATACTTGCTGAACAACTTTAGTTAATAATGATGGGCTGGGTGAGTCCCACTTGGCCCAACGTTCAGCAACAACTAACTCGCAATAAGCCCAATAATATCTTTGACCCCTTGGCCTTGAGAGAAGGGTAGGTCTGAACAGCAGATGAAGAGAAGAAGAAATTTCAATATGCTATGCTGCCATTTGATTTTCCTGATTCAGCTTCAGTTCTACCAATAATATCTTTGACCCCTTGGCCTTGGGAGAAGAGTAGGTCTGAACAGCAGCTGAAGAGGAGACATTTCAATCTGCTATGCTGCCAACTGATTTTCCTGACTCAGCTTCAGTTCCATCACCAACATGATTTCCCTTCGTTCAAGCGAATTTCCTCTCTCTTAACTAATCAATATGGTATGTTTTCTCTCTATAATTTGTTCTTGCATGTATTCTTTTTTATGAAAGGAAAAGTTCGGTATAAAACTCGTAATATGATCACTACATGAAACTCTATGCACTTCAAGGGTTCTTATTTGTGCTGTTACTATATTTTCTGACAGGCATTCCAGCCACGGATGTTCTGGTCGCTAGTCAGGCTAATCAGTACACTAATGTCTCAGCCGACTGCCTTAGTCACAACTTTATTGTATTACAGCAATCTTCTTCCTAGAAACTTGAATTTAGAGCGGTTGGTTCGACCTGAATTCCTTGATGGAGAGAACCGTTTGTTCCTTTTTCTCATCGATTTCTTAAGATGTCTCTGGTAGTTACCTAGCACATTAAGCTCAACCCCATATTGATTTTGTTTTATTAAAGTAAGTAACGACTGATGATTTCTTTCTTACTCCAACTCTGTTTCAGAGCTATCGGGGATCTCTTACTGCAATATGATCCTTGCTGGATCCGGTGAGTTGAATTTTCGCTATTTAAATACACGTCAGAAATCAGAAAAACTTTAATGCCTGGCTAAAGATTCTGTACATCTAGATGATCGGGGAGAACATATTGTTCATGTAATTAGGGTTTCTGTATTTTCACTGGGTACTGCGTACCCTTGTTGTGTTATTCAGGGAGCATTCCGATGATGCTCTGCATGATTACGTGCTAGCTTTCTGGGGACTGACATACAGTGACAGTATTTTTACACATATGCCGTGCTTCAACCTTAGTTTATTCACTCCCATTGTTGAAATCAATGAATAATACCTGATAAGATGTTATTATACAGCATAAAACCTACATATTCTTGAAAATTACCAACCAACTACGTGAAAGAACTTCTCTTTTCTTATTTGGATTCAACAGAGGTCCACGCAGTAGCGGTAACTTCTTTTTTCCTATTATTACTAGATTACATAGTAGAAATACCCTTTCCTGTTTTTAATTTCTAACCCATTTTACCTTAGGCTTAAGCTTAGATCAGACCTTATAAAGGAAACTATTCCCTGGATTGTTTGTGTATGTGTGATGCAGTGGCAGATTGTGTCCATGTCAAAGTCATTTCTTCTTCTCAGCTCAAACAGAGTTGAGAATTATCATTTGTCGGCTTGCAAAATTAAATGCATTAATTTGGAGTTTTTCTTGATTGTCCTTTTTTTAAAGTCCTTGACGATGATGAATTATACATATATTCACAGAAAGAAAGGGGTTGGGCTATGATGGTGAAGATTGTTATGGACGGTGGCACTGGCACAGTTGAGGGAGCTCTGGTGGTGGTGGTGCCAGAGCAGAAGTGAGTGCTAGCTCATCGGAAAGAAGACCCCGAGTAAGGCAGCCCTGTTTGTTTCATGAAAATGAGAAGTCATTTTCTAAAAGTTAATTTCAAATTTGTTTACAGTTAAAAAAATCAATATTTTTCGGTTAATAAAAAAATTTAATTTATTTGTCAATAAATTAGTTTTTTTAATTTTAGGGTTGAAAATCTTTTAGAAATTACAAAAAATTCAAAAAAAATTATTATTTATTACTTCTATCAAATTTGACCATTAATTTTTTTATTGCTATGTATTTTATTTTAATCCTTTTTATTCAATATCACTCTTTATAATTTAATTTAATTTAATTTTTATATTAACTTTAATTTTTAATTTTTATTTGTTTCTCTTATCATTTTCTTAATTAAATTTTTTATATATCAAATTGATTCTTATTCTTTTTATTGTTATTTGTTTTATTCGAAAAAAATTATTGAAATTGTAGTTTTTTAATTTTATTATCTTTTAATTTTTTTATTTGTCAAATTCAGTATTTATTATTTTAAATATTATTTATTTTATGTAAAATAATTTATAAAATAAAATATTTTTTAATTTTATCCTCCTTCAACTTTTTTATTTATTATATTTGGTTGTTATTCTTTTAATAAACTTGAAAAAATAATATTAATAAGTTATTTTCATGACATAGCCAAAAGTATATTCTAATTTATTTTTTATGACACTATAAAATATTAAAAAATAATTTATTTTAAAAAAAAAATACTTTTCATTGAAACCATTTTGCCAACAATAAATTATTTTCCAGTAAAACAAGGTTAGAAACTGGGAAGTTTTGAGTTACCCCTGGAAAAACCTTGTACACTTCCAGTAAACACAATTATCTGTGTCTCATTCCTCTGTATTGTTTAGTCGTCTCTTACTTTCTGCCCAGAAACCACGTCTAAACACTGCTTAATGCCATGTAATAATCTAAAAGATGCATTTAAGTTAGCATAAATTTGTTTCTGCATTGTTGGACTGCCACGATCGCATGGCCTAGGAGCATTGGTCAGCACTCAGCAGGGGCGGAGCTACCTAGGCCCATGGGCCAGAGACGGGCTCAGCTCTCCAAGATTTAATTTAGTCCCTATAGTTTTATAGGTTTTTCATACATATCCTTACAATTTATGATTATCCTCATAAATAATTATACTTAAGTACTAGTTTTAAAACCCGCATTATGTCATGGATAGAGTTCCAAGCTAATTGTTCACATATATTCCAAGAATGTTTCAATATTAGAATGTGTTTTATTATATAATTTTTTAAATTAAGAAATGAGAAGATGTTGTTTATGTTTATTAAAATAATTTAGAAAAATGTTGAATCAATCAATTGTGAAAAGGTTGTTAATAATATTTATATGAGTATGCAAATACCCATTTTCATTAAGATTTAGGTGTTCTTTTTATCTTAGAAGTTATATCAAATAAATGAAAATATAAATTTACAATAATTTTTTGAAATATTAAATATATATATATAATAACTATTGTTTAAAAAATTGAATAAAACAATTTTAAAAAGAGAGAGATGATAAAAAGAATTGATGTAAATTAAAGAAATACATACAAAAGAAGGAAATTATCGATTAAAATCTCTTTGCAATAAATACAAAAAAAAAAAGTTGGGGGGACAAGCCTTAACATCCAACTAGCTACCCAAGTTTAGATGTCCTTGAACTTATAAATCTATACCCATTCATCTAGGATTATATTTTTTTTTTCTTAAAAAAATTAATGCAAACAACATCTATTATCCTAGCCCAGATTTTGGTTGTAATGTGGTAGCTGGAAATCCTAATAAATCATCTTTTAACTCAAAATATTTATAAATTAATTTAAAACTCACAAAAATCAAACAAAAAAAAATTTATCTCTGCCATGGTTGTTGGCTAGAAGATATTTTTTTTTTGAAAAGTGAATTTCAAGAAAATGAATTTTAAAAAAGTAAATTATTTTTTGATATTTGGTAGTATAATAAAAAATAAGTTTGACAATATTTTTCAGTATTTGATTATATTTTAGAAAATGAGCTAAAAAACTTATTAATGTTTTATTTTTTAAAAATTTACTAAAATAATAAAGAATAAATCTTACAAATTAAAAGGTTGAATGAGAATGAAATTGAAAAAAAATATAATTTTATAAATTATCTCAAATAAAATAAATAATAATCAAAATAATAGAGATCAAATCTAAAAAATAAATAAATTAAAAGATTTTTTTATAATTTCTAGAAAGTGTTTTTCATTGACAAATTTTTCTGATGGTAAAATAACACAAAATAATTTTAAAAATAATTTCCCATAAGACTTTAAGATTGATCTACTTTTTCAAGCAAGATGAAGGTGAAAAACCACCATCATTGAACTCTTCTCTTTCAATGAAACCTTTTGACATCAAGATTGTATCATTTTAGTTATTAGAACTATGATAACCATTAACTTTCTCTTTCTTTTATAGTTTTGCAGTACGTTTCTTTCTTCTTTCTCAAATATAGAAACTAAAAAGTAAACAAAATATACTTTAACATCAAAATAAACAAAAATTTATAATAAATTTGAGATTGATCATATTTTTCTCCATGTTTTACATCACAACTTTTTGTTTTTTAATTAGGTTGTATAAAAATTCAATTGAATGGAGAAAATAGTTAGAAAATGAAAAATACAAAAAAAAAAAAAGATAACTAGGTGCTTCATTGTTTATATAAACAATGAAGTACTTTAATAGTTTTTAATTAATAATATATTAAAAACAATTTATCAACTTAATATTATCTCATTAACTTAAAAACTAAAATGCGTAGGGTAAACACTATTCATCCTCTCACAAAAACATTATGGATGATATTGTTTATTTTTTAACAATTCACTTTGGTCCTTAAAGTTTTATTTTAGATGATTTGATCATAATTTAAGGCTAATTGCTTCTTATTTCTTAGTTAATGGTAGAATTGAAAGGATAGGGACCAAAATAAAAAAAAAAGTATCAAATATGAGTAGCATGCCATAGGTTTCAGGAAATATATATTTTGGTCCTCTAACTTTAAAAATAACGTAAATTATATGATTTCAATGCCTAAATATTTTTCCAATTCAATTTTGAAACAATTTTATTTATTTTATTTTTTTAGTCCTTGATTGAGAAAGGAGAGAGAGGTCATTGGATTCTGGTGACGGAAAATGTTTTTTCATTAACACTGATTTAAGCCATAAAAAAAAAATCAATGTTTGTGTCAAATTGTTTTATTTAATGAGGGAAGTTTATATTAAGTTTTTTTCTTCACCTTTAAAGTTTGTGAAAAAAAAACATATATGAACTCAGTTTAATTTTTATTTTCAGGTTGATTTTGATTTTTGGAATGATGTTTTTAGGTTATTGATAGGTTTATCATGGTTCCTAAAGGGTTTTGAAACAAAAATGGGTTAAAAATAAGTTTTTTAGATTAAAAAACTTAAATTCTGACTTTTTAGTGGCTATAATCTAAGCAAATCAGATGATGTATCATCTGTTTTAATAAGTGACGCACTATATAATTTTTTTTTCAAAATAATTAGGACGCACGACATATCATCCACCTCGATTGTAATAAAAAAATAATATAAAAGCCCCTTTATGCAAGCCTGATGGGCAGGGTTGCACGTGTGCCCTAATAAAATAAGTGAGGGCAAGCAACGCTTGGCTTTTGTCTTTATACAAAAATTATTATTTTTTATTTTTTTAATTATTATTTTTTTATATGGTTTTTTTTTTTAAATTTAGATTAGTGTCCTTCTCTTTTATTTTGTTTAGATAATATCTTTTAAATGAAATTTATGTTTTTTTTGGTTCTGCATTTAGATTTTGAAGAGTTTTTCTAATTAATCTATAAATTATTTTTTTATATAGATGGACTTAATTTTTTAAATAAAAAATATAATATATGCAGCTTTGCATAGTAATTTTTTTATTCAATCAATTTAATTTGTGTTTTTATTTTTATTTTTATTATTATTTGCTTGAATAGAAAAATATATTAATAAATAAATTTAGAAAACATAATTTGGTAAATATCTCAGTTTATAAAATTAAATATTTTGATTTATATCTGTCTCTCAACTTTTTTATTTTTATTTTTAGATATTATTTTTTGTTTTTTTCATTTATGAAGACACATAATTTTTAATTTATTTAATTTATTACATGTATTTATAAATTTTTTGATTTTTACTTACAAAATTTTTAAATGCAAAAATATATTAAAAAAGCTTATACAAAATCTAACCCATGGTGAAGATCGATATCAAATATCAAGTAAAATACAAGCATGCCTTATTGCTCTCCCAATATTAATCTCAACACATTATAAAACAGGAAAGGAAAAAAACACCCATTAATAAGTATGTAATAGCAAATGATGCCATGTAAAACTTCAGGTGTTTAAAAGTATAAAAATAGTTATTTTTTTAAAAAATTATTTAAAAATATATTAATATAATTTTTTATTTTTTAAAATTTATTTTTGATATTAGCATATCAAAATAATTTAAAAATATAATAAATAAATAATTTTAAATATATATATATTTTTAATTTTGATCGATTGTAATGCCAAAGGGTGCAAATCTATAATTCTAAATTAAAAAGATTTTCTTTTGAAATTAAAAAAAAAAGTCCATTGTACGTGTGTCGTCAATCATCTGCCGCCTGTGAAGGTAGGAAGCCGTACTTGTGTACGGACATGGTCCTATGCCGCATGGGCATCAGAGACGGTGCCGCCATTATATTCCAACAATTAATTCGCAAAAGTGGTCACAATCTTTGAGAACTGAGTACAGCTTTGATCCAGCTGTTTGGACACTTGATTGACTTGAACATCATTATCAATACCAATTACATTTTCAAACTCGAACACGTCTTGTTGAACACAAAAATATTTATTTTCTTTCTCGAAAATTCGTAGCAAAGAAGAACAAACTAAAGGTCGTCCACAGTAATATCTAAATTAAATTTTGAGTATTTATACATATTAGTCACATTTTTTCACGCAATTAACCAGAAAAGAACAAATATCGCTCTGAACAGGGTAAGCTTCGTACCTTCTTTCTAGAGAAAGGTACGTGTGTGATAGTTATTGAAGGCA